TATATATATATATATATATATATATATATATATATATATATATATATATAATATATATATATATATATATATATATATATATATATATATATATATATATATATATATATATATATATATATATATATATATATATATATATATATATATATGTATATATATATATGTGAGTGCGCGTGTTTGTGTGTTTGTGTGTGTGTGTCTGTGAATATATATATATATACATACATACATACATATATATATATATACATATATATACATTATATATATATATATATATATCTCATTATTATAGTACTAATAATATCAGGAAGGTAAAAGCAAATGTCGACTGCAATACAGAAAATGTTTAAGTTCACTAGGCGAACCTACTTGGCAAGCAATAGAAATATCTTTGCCTTACGATTGACTCGTTCGATATGTACCCTCACGCCGGCTATTTTAATCGTGTCATCTTACACTGCTGTAAGTTGTCCAACAGCGGGAAAACGCGGCGGTACATTATATAAAACTCCCTCAGTCAATAAACTCAATTTCGAAGCCTGTGTGCATAATATTTTTGTTGTTGCGTGGTTCTTTTGTTGCATTTTCCCAAACGCTTTATACAGACCAGAATTGTTCTCTGCGCCTGTGCGGGACATGACGCCCTGGATTTTGGGCACTGATTTCATCACTATAATACTCTGGACAACAACGCGTTATTATGACCAACTAAGTGGCCTAAAAGGTGGTCTACAGTGCTTATATGTGTGTACACACATGAAATGCATATTTATGTTTTGAAACTGATTTCATAGAGGCTTGAAAATGGTAAAGTGTTATACTACCCGCCAAAATCAGGACAGTTCAGCAGTACGACTGTCACCAGAGTGACCTGTCAAATGCACCTAGTGGATATATGAAAGGGTACCACTTACATTATGCATACATACTATTTATAATTATAAAAGGTTTAAAAAAAACATATAAAATACAACTCATCTTTCTTTCTTTCTACACAAGTTGAAATGTAACAGCATTTAAAAAAAAAGAACGGCCCCCTCTGACGAGGCTCTGGATCATACACATAAAAGTTTTTTGTTTTGTTTTTGGGCCAGGGGGTCAGCAAGAGACTCAGGGAGTCAGAGATAGAGACAAGAGTGAGTTTTTTTGTTTTTGGTTTTGGTTTTGCTGCTTGAGGGCGGCGGTGGAGGCTGTTCAGAGTTCACAATTCACAGTTCACTCAGTCCACTGTTCTGTGACAGTCTGACTGTCTGACGAGTGTCGAGCGTCGACGAGCGTCGACGACAGACGACACTCGCGAGTCGTGAGATCGTGACTCGACAAGTCGACAAGTTTTGTTCTGATTTTGCTATTTTCAAAAAAAAAAACGAACAAATATTTACAACCTCATCATGTAAATAAATACATATGTAAATATTTACATTTGATAAATACAAATGTAACAAATATTTACATTTGATTTTAGGAGGCGATGTTTTGTTTTGTTTTTGTTTTTGTGTTTAAAATATAAATATTACATACATACCTCGTAAAAAACAAAGTTGTAACGTTTATTTTTGTAAAAAGCGCATAACTGTATCGAGCTTTAGGCTATAAATACAATATAATAAATACAAAGGCCTATTCTAATTTTTATAACAACACTATACCGATATGGGTAGACCGGTAGAGACTATTCTAGAGAGGGCCAGAGAGTACAGACACGCTGCCAGAGACTCAGAGAAACATTTTCAAGTTTAAAAAAAATATAATTCAACAACGGGTTTGTTGCAAAAAAAACACAGATTAAACTTACTCATGATACCGTATAGTTGTATGCTATATATTAGTTGGCGGCCAATCATAAAGATATAAAGTTAAGTTTTAGAAAACGAAGATGGCATTCAGTACACTTTTGTTTCGATATATTTGTTTAAAAAAATAGTTTCTTGTTTCAAAACGTCTGATATATAAAATTTATTTATGTGAACTGAATTGGAGCGGAACGAAAGCTCAACACATATGAAACAAAACTGAACAAATACGAGCATCAATCATACCAGCGGATCATTTTGTGCCAGTACTGACGACTGCGCAATCTTATTACTTCCATATACTTCGATAGCTACTACAGTAGATTGGTGTCTACGACTTGTTTAAAATAATTGCTTGCAGAAATAGTAGCGTCCGTCACACAGTTCCTCAGCAACATGGTTGCATTTGCAAGGAGGATTTTCAACATGAGGGCCTTTTTAGCTCTGATGCTTATAGCCATGCTTTGTCTACCGCAGACGTCTGCTGCGATTCAAAGCTCTTGCTGTAAACGTAAACGTAAGTTTCAGTTGTGGCCTGTTGTCGCATATCTGTGACTCATGGCAAGTTTGCCATGCAGACTTTTATCCCAAACTGTACATGTTCACGCCAGATTGATGGTAGAAATCCTATGTATGGTCTATGCACACTATATTTTATTTAGCTAATATTCAAATGGTCATGCCTGGTTCAGTTGTATATTGAGTCAACTCACCAAGGATAGTTTGTACCTTAAATAGTTTGGAACTGCAGTCTAACATTTGGAACTGCAATCTAACATTCGCTTGCTTTGTGCTCCTGAATTTGCACCTTATCTCGAGTGAAATATTGTGCACAGACTTATATTTACTTATTATGATTGTAATGTGTTTCTTACGTTGTACACTAAAATATTAACTCTGTTTTCGTTGATGTATGTTTTTGATGAATTGGGTGGCTGGATTTTGTTGTTTGAAGCCAGTTGCGGATATATGATTCTGATGTCAGGGATAAGTCTTGTGGTTTAGTAGTGCGAGCTCAAGCCACTAATTAATGGGGGCAGCACATTGAGGAGTGTATGTTGTTACTTAAGATTGTCGCAGTTTTGTTTTTTAATTGTTCATTCATAGTTTCTCTTGCTCATGTTATTTTGCCCTGAAGGTGTCAGCATTTAGGATCTGTTGTGTTGAATTTATATTATGATCTCGTTACAGGTAACAATATGATTATCAGTGCACGAATTGATGGCCCGAGAACCCCCGGAGGAGTTTCAGTGTCAGATGTAGAGAGCATCCCTACCCCGACACCAGCAGAGTCTGCGTCGCCGATCGTGTATCCGGACGATAGTTCTAGTGCCTCGCCGTCAGTGGCCCTATCGGCATCACCAAGTGCTACACCATCAAAGTCTCAAATTCTGGGGCAAATTTCAGGTTCACTCATTGACCTGGGTTCTGGGTTAGGCATTCCTAACGCCAATGTGATATTAGTGGATGTCGCAACGAATGAAGCTATAGGAACAGTCGCTACAGACGACAATGGTCTGTATGTTTTCCTTGATCTACCCGTTGGCGAGTACAATGTTATCTCACCTGCGGATGTCAAGGCATTGCCTATCGTGAGCGGGCCTCTTGACAGCAATGGTCAGGACAGCGATGGCAAGTTGTTCGAACATGTGGTGACTATCAACGCGGAGGAACCCACTGTATCTAATGTAGACTTCAAGTATCTCAAGGACGCCACAATTACCGGGACTGTGACTCTTAGTAACAACACCCAGAATGACGCTTTAGTTGGCGCAACAGTGTCAGCTGTTTGTCTGGACGATGAAACAATTACCATGGAGCCCGTCAATACCGATATCAATGGAATGTACTCGTTCCTAGGTGTACCCGATTGTAATTGGGAAATAGTGGTTCCAGACGAGTTCAACGGTTTCCCTATCCATTCAGATGATTCGACTGAACCGGGGGAGAAGAAAACAGTTCTCATCGCACCAGAAGATCGTGTTGGTATTGCGAATTTCGAATACATTCCCTTTGGAACAATATCTGGTTATGTCTTCAACAGGGATGACAATACTACTGTTTCTGGTGTAGTTGTGCAAGCATCATGTAATGGACTCAGTAGTGAGAGAACTACTGATAGCGAAGGTTTCTACGAGTTCACCAGACTAAATGATTGCGAGTATGCAATTGTAGCACCACCTTCAATAAATACAGGCGTTTTTGAGGGCACCTTTGTTGAAGGGCCCGGTGACGGCGATCTGTCGCATCCGGTAATCGTCGATTCTGACAGTCGTGGGGAGGAGAATGTAAACTACTACTACGAAACAGCACCGAAGGGAGCTTTGTCTGGCACTCTGAGAGATTTCATCACGAGAGAAGGAATTGCGGGCCAAACCGTTGAAATTGCTTGCATTGATGGTCCTAATCGTGATGTGTCGCGAATTAATACCGACAGTGAAGGTAACTATAAGTTTACTGCTCTCGACTTCTGCACTTACTCTGTGCAGGCTCCTGGAGACACCGGTGATGGGCGGGAAATTGTTGTCGGACCTGAAGACGGAGTAGATCCAAAGGAGTCTACAACCGTACCTCTTACCAAAGCTGTGCCTACTAAAACACAAGTCAATTTCGAGTACTCTCTTCCAGAAGAACCAGCAAGCATCACCGGAACAGTTACATTATTGCCTGGCAACGAGCCAATCACCAGTGTGGAGGTCACCGCCACATGCACATCTGATGTTAGTATAACGATGGCTCCAGTAACAACGGATGCAAACGGTATTTACACGTTTACCGATGTGGTCGATTGCGCTTGGACAATCAGTGTGCCAACCGAGGTCGATAACGTGCCTGTGAGCAGCCCGTCGGATGTAACTGCCGTAATTGATCCAGCGAACAGAGATATCGAGGTCAATTTCGATTTCCAACCCAACGGAGTTATTTCCGGTCGCACGTTGGATGATTTCGATGATTCAGCGATTCCCGACATGCTTGTCACCTTAGTTTGTACAGAGGATGGTTCAATGCAATCGCAAAAGACAAACGCAGACGGAGAGTACTTATTTACAGAACTCAAGGATTGCAACTATGTTGTGTCAGTTCCATCATCATCTGAGGCAGTTGGGCCTATTGTTTCCGGCCACGGCGATACCGAGTCCCTATATGAAGGTACGGTGGTAATTGACGATGATACTAAATTGGCAGAAGACGTCAGTTTCAAATACCTTTCGCAAGGCACAATTGCTGGTAAGTTGCGTGATCTCGTCTCGACGACTGGTATCGCAGGCGAGCTAGTGACCGTGACGTGTGAGAGCAGGGGCATCACCAAAGAAACGTACACTAACGCTTTGGGCGAGTACCGTTTCGACAACCTTGGATATTGTGATTATGTCGTAAAAGCTCCCGAAGCTGTTGCCGCAGTAGGTCCAGTATTCAGTGGGTTCGACGGTTCGGACCCTACATCTGAAGCCAATGTGCCGATCGATATTGAAACGCCATCGGTGGGCGAAGTCAACTTTGAATACACAGCAGTTGGAAGTATATCTGGAGTTGTCTTCGTGGATGAGGAAGTAGCAGATAATGGACAGCCAGGAGTGGATGTTGTATTGACTTGCAAGGAGAACCCGGAGATTCAATTCACGACTTCAACTGCTGATCGTGGAGTGTACACCTTTGTCGATATTCCACTTTGCACCTACACTGTAGAGGTGCCCACGGCTGTGGATGGCAAGCCCATCGAGAGCGGATATGATGAGGATGATACTCCCGAGCTAGCTGATGTCACAGTGTCTACAGAGACGCCTGCTGTAACGAACGTCAGCTTCCTGTATAAGCTAGCACCATCACCATCAGCAACAGGCAGCCCCAGTCCTTCCGCTTCGAGGTACATTCCCGGTACTGTCGCCGGAGTTGTCACCATCGAAGGTACAGAAATTGGGGTACCAGGAGTTGTTGTGACAGCGACATGTGCAGAAGACGGTATGGAGTACACCGCAACCTCTGGAAATGATGGATCTTACACCTTAGGCAATCTACCCGATTGCGTGTACACCGTCAGTGTACCAGCAACCGAAGGCAATGGATGGCCTGTGGTAAGCACCGGTGTGACTGAGGTGGAGATCAGCCCAGAGAACCGCACTGAGGAGGTGAAGTTCGAGTACACACCACTCGGATCTATCTCTGGAGCTACTCTAAGTGACTTTGACAAAACCACTCCTATTGAGGGCGTGCTTGTTGAGTTGACATGCGAAGGAGCCGAAACTCAGACCGCGACATCGGATGCCCTTGGAAAGTACAGTTTCACGGAGCTGCCACCTTGCACCTACACAGTCACAGTTCCCACTTCAGTCACCAATGGAGGGGACCTCGTCTCAGGCCCCAGCGACAGCGACACTAGCGCGACTGAAGTTCACGAAGAAGTGATTTCGGGTAATGATGTTATTGATGTAGACTTCTTCTACCTACCAGAAGGTACAATTGCAGGAAATCTACGGGACCATGTGACTGAAGAGCCACTTGCTGGCGAGACGGTGACAATGACGTGCTTGGAGAATCCTGATATTACTTTCACAAATGTTACTGACGCCGCCGGCAACTACGAGTTCACCAACTTGGTTGCCTGTTCATATAGAGTTGTGGCTCCCGAGACTTCAACTTCCGGACCTATTTTCGCTGGACCAGAGGACCGCACCGAAGACAATAAGGAATTCAGCACCGTTGTTTACATCAGCCCTGACAATCCCGAGGAAGGCGATGTTGACTTCACATACACTGAGGTTGGCAGCGTGTCAGGATCCATCTTTGAGGACTCTGTCGCACCCGAGAATGGAGTTG